TCTTCTTCTCTCTCTCTCTCTCTCTCTCTCTCTCTCTCTCTCTCTCTCTCTCTTTGAGACAGGGTTTCTCTGTGTAGCTCTTGTAGACCAGGCTGACCTCAAACTCACATAGATCTGCCTGACTCTACCTCCTGAGTGCTGGGATTAAAGGCAAGCACCATCACTGCCCAGCTCTCACCCAGTAAACTCTTAAAATGGGTTCCGTTGTGTGTCTCGTGATCCGTTCTCATGCTCAGTTATGTCACAGAACTTTGCTTCTTGTACCTTGCTCCTCAGCTTAAAGAAAAAACAATGGTTAGGTGATCAGCTGACTGGAGCAGCTCCTCTGTGTGCAGATGAGGGGGAGATTTGAAAAGATGGCTGTGCAAGAGACAAGATTTCAGCCGATGCATGGACAGTGTTCTTCCCGCAGCCATGTGTGCTCTCTTGGCATGCAAGCCTGCAGACCACACACGGCATTGTCTGTTACAGGAAGCATTACAGTCGTGAGGAGCGTACAGATGCGACGGCGTCCGCAAGTCTAACCGAAGTCTGTGCTACAGATTGAGAACAGCATGGTCTCTACTGCCCAGTGCCTCTTTTTAGACTTTAGTTTGTTGTTTGCTGTCCTTTAAGAAGACCACGGGTTGTCTGGAAAGATCAGTTTAGTTGGTTGTGGCAGAGGATTCTTCCATTCCTTCTTCAACAGATCCGTCAGTTAGTCAATAAACATGTAGTAAGAGTCAGTTCTATTCCAGACCTTGAAGTAGGCGTGATACATCATACTGTCCTTTGGGAACTTCTGACTAGCGGTAGCTATTCCTGTTCCTTTACCTGATGGCATGAAAGAGAGGACTAAAAGTGAGATGGGGATGGCTAGCGGTGACATTCAGAAACCTGAGTGGTACTTGTGTGAATTAGGATGGCCACATTAGAGACTTTGAGAAGGATTCCCAGGGTGTGTTCCACTGGAATGTCCTGTGATAGTTTGTTTTAAACCCACACTGGCCAATCCAGAAGCCATGGACCAAGTGTAGCTATTGAATGTGACTGAGTAGTGTGGTGGAGACAGCTCAGAAAACACACCAAAATTGTTCATTCTTTTTGTATATGTGCATATGTGATTGCACAGGTGTGTATACATGTGTGTAGGTCAGAGGTCAATGTCAAGTGCCTTCATCATTCGCGCTCCTTCTTTTTTTGGTTTGGTTTGTTATTTTGTTTTGTTTTTTTGAGACGGTCTCTCACTGAACCTGGAATTAACCAGTTTGGCTAATCTAGCTGATCAGAGGACTCCAAGTTGCTGCCTTCTTTCCACCTCCTTTCCCCTGCATACCCTCCTCCCACCCCTGTACAAGGATTGTAGACAGGCAATGCCCTACATGGCTTTTTTTAAAACAGGTTCTGAGGACTGAATTTAGGTCCTCAAGCTTGCATGGCCGGCACTCTGCTGACTGAACCATCCCCTCCAGCCTCTGCCTTGTTCATTTTGTTGTTTACTTTTAATCCCTCTCACTTCTTCTATTCTCTGGCTTCTAAATGTATTTAATCTAATATCTGAATTATATCTGCTGTAAGTTAATTTTCTCTGATTTATTGCTAGCATCAGCATTAAGAAAGTACAAACCAAAAACAATTTTTAGAGATGGAACCATAAAGCAAAACTATATGTATTTTATTATTATATTATTTATATATAAACGTTGAGCCACAAAAAACATATATGTATATAAAAGGTTTATATTTTTATTTTTGATTATGCATGTATGTGTGGTTTGTGCAAAGATGAGTGTAAGAGCCTACAAACTGCAGAAGAAGGTGTCAGATCCCCCAGAGCTGGACAGTTGTAATCCATCTAATACGGGTGTTAGGAACCAAATTCTGGTCTTCTTCAAGAGCAGTATGTGGTCTTAAGCACTGAACCATCTCTCCATTTCTGTAAACAATATATTTTAAAACAAGCTGAGTAAGGTTACCAGAATAGGAAGCTTAAGGAGTGGGAGATAATTAGTTGGATGGTGTTATTTTAATCCCGTGTCTGGGTGAGCCAAGCAAACACATTTTCTTCCATTTGAGGAATGTTCTGAACACTTACCTTCCTCCCCTTTGAGGAAACATAGCGAATACACTCCCATATCATCCTGTAAAAATGGCTGCTTTAATGCCCCTTTCTGATCTTATCCCTGAACACACAATTAACGGATTTTTGCTATAATCTCAGCTGCAAGGAGAATTATTGTTAGTCATGTGTATGTTGCCTCAACCCTGGCTCACTAACATTGCTTGGCAATAATATTCTGGAATGACTTAGAGCTGATTTGTCTGAACAATGGTTCTATGGAACTTCAGTCCCATCTCCCCGCCCTGCCGTGGTACTTTTAATAAACTATGGAAGTTCCACTGTGCTTTCACTATGTCACCTCCCTCAGTAGCATCAAAAGATTATTTTTATTTTCTATGCATGAGGTTGTTGCCTGCATGTATGTGTGTGCATCACATGCATGCCTGTTATCCACAGGGGCCAGAAGAGGATATTACATTCCCTGAAACTGAAGTAGGAGCTGCGAACTGAACCTGTGTCCTCTGGAAGAGTAGTAAGTGTATTTAACTACTGAGCCATCTCTCCATGGCATTTTGATGCGAAAGACATCAGCAGTACAGCCCCAGTTCCTCCAGCCAACACTTTCTTGGCTGGTTCTTTAGTTAAATAGGTTTACAGTGTTGGGAAATCGCCGTGAGATTTTCTTGGATGATAACACGGACCGTATATTAAGTCTGTGACTTTGGACTCTAGCCATCATCTCAGTGAGAATGTGCCCTGTGCGCATGGCACCACAATAAGCTTACTACATGGGTCAAATGAACAACGGTTGAACTTAACAAGGACTTATGAAAGAACTGTGCTTCACCAATGCCACTTAAAAGTAGCTTATGTGTATTTTTTTTATTTTAAAGCCTGCACCAAGGAATCTTAGAGAATATTAAATACAGGCGTATGAAACAAAGATAATCACACTGATATCCATGGTCCTTCCAATTCCGTCTTCAATTGCCTAATGCATTGAATATTTGCCAATCTCTTGAAGAAAAATCGTAATAGGATTTGAGATTTGCAAATGAGTTACAACTGGTTTGGCTTCGTGATAGTGGAACGATCTGCAGCGGTTTTAAGAAAGCGTGGGTTTATTTCTAAGCACTGGTCCTAAAATCTGCACAAGATAAACTGCAAAGAAGAGCTAACGCCAGGCAGTGCCGCTGGCTTGCTTCTATTTCTGCATCCAGCAGACTTTACACCAAGGAAATCTCAGCTCTCCTCACGTGTGCTTGTGTGTGCTTTGGAAGGGCACCCAAGAAATCATGAACAAGCAGTTATTTGAAGGTCCTAGAGTTGTTTTTATTTTGGATTCTGTTTGCACGGTGATTTTCTTTTTCAAACAGGGAGCACATTTTAATTTGTATAGTAAAATTACTTTTAAAGAACAATAAACAAAATGTCAGCCCTTTAGAATCAGCACAAGTTTAAGGCGATCCTACTATATAGAGTGAGCTGTGGACTGCCAGGGCTACGTGGGGAGATGTTCTAGAAAGACAAATAAAGAAAAACACTCACTGAAAACAAATAGACAGCAACAGAAGATAAAATGAAAGTCATCCTTTGGGCCTACTGCTCAGATTATTTAAATACTCTTCTAGATTTTTCTTTTACTTGTATATTGTCATATAAGATATAATGCTGTATAGCCACTTCGTGATTTTTTTACCCTCAAACAAAAATATCATACAAATGAACAAGTTTTCATCATTCTAATGTGTTTGGAAAAATTTTATTAACCACAAATGCATAGAATAAACTAAATCCACCCACCTTCACTAAAATAAGCTAATACAAGGCACCTATCTCAAGTGTCCGTGTTTTGCTGTATCCTCGTCAGTGGTTAGAGGCTGGCCGGCACTCACCCTTACTAAGTAGTGGTTTCTAACTTCCTAACGATGGGTCTTCTAGCCAACTCAGCCCAAACCGAGCCATTCCTGAAATTCCATACACAATTGCCACTTCCAGTGCGTGGATGTTTAGAATGTTTCAGACATTGAACTGCTATAAATAGTGCTGAAATAAATGAACATTTTAAAAGGGCAAATCTATATATACATCCTAATTCTACTATTTTCTCACCACAAGAACCCGGAAATACAAACTAAGAGTGATTTATGGTAAAATTCCTTGCGAAGAAAGAGTAGACCAGGGCTGAGGAGATGGCTCAGTGGGTAAAGCACTTGCGGCACAATCATGAGGACCTGAGTTCGGGTCCCCAGAATCCAGGTCCTCTACAGATGGTGGCAAACATCTGTAATCCCTGAGCTTCTACAGTGAGAGGAGAAGCAAAGACAGGAGAATCCTTAGGTGCTCACTAGCCAGCGAAGCCTAGTACACATGTGTCCTAGTGTGTCCCCTGCCGCGGTGAGAAAACACTGACCAAAAGCTACTTGGGAGAGAAAAGGATTTATTTAACTCACATATCCACATCACTGAGGGAAATCAGGGCAGGACCTCAAGCAGCAGCAGAGGCAGGGACCATGGAGGAGGCTGTCCACTTTACTAGCTCTCAGCTTGCTGGCTTGCAGCTTGCTGTCTTATTCTAGCCAGGACCTTCACAGGGATGATACCAGTCACTCTGTGCTGGGCCCCCTCCTGTCAATCAAGGTGAAACAGTGGGAATACATTCTGCCCCTCTAACTGTGTGTGTGTATGTGTGTCTGTGTCTGTATGTGCATGTGTATGTGTATAAGTGTAGGTGCATATGTGCCTTGCAATTGTGTGATTAGAAGACAACACCGAGGGTTGAGGTCTGGCTCCGTGTTAGAGTACTTGACCAGCATGTACAAGGCCCCGAGTTCAATCCCTGGTGCATTAGATTTCCCAGTGAAGTCAACAAATTTGTCCTGCCAGGTGGTGGTGGCGCACACCTTGAATCCCAGCACTCAGGAGGCAGAGGCAGGTGAATCTCTGTGAGTTCGAGGCCAGCATGGTCTACAAAGTGAGTTCCAAGACAGCCAGGATTGTTTCACAGAGAAACCCTGCCTCAAAAATCCAAGAAAGAAAAAAAAGGGTCACTTCCTCATGTGCATTTACCACAGGAGAAAGTGTCAAGAGGAAATCTGAGCAGAGCCAATGATAGAATTCCTTTCTCGGAATGGGGAATCCCACGCTCCCCAGCTTTCTCCGGCAGTTAATGGGACTGTTTATGCCTTGCATTATCCAGAATTCCTTGAGCCACAGTGTCCAAAACCAGACTCAAACTTAAGTAAAAATCATAGTGTATTGACCCCAAATCCAGGAAGTTTCAGAGAGGATGCTAAGAGTCAGGTCAGGCTGGATCAGAGGCCTAAACAGTCCCACTAGAACCATGGTTCTGCCTCAGTCCTGCCTATAATCCTAGACCTGGAGGAGGATCAGAAGTTCAAGATCATCCTTGGCTATATAGTGAATTCAAGCCTGAGCTTCAAGGCAGCCAGGGCTGTGTGGGTTCTTGTTTCAAAAATGCAAAAACAAACAGAAAGCACAAAACAAAAAGAGGCAAGAATCCTAATCTTGACTGTCGCTCACCAGGTATCTGCTGATCGAGTAGCTGCCAGTCAATTCTTACATATATGTTATCTTCGAACTTGCACATTTTCTCCAGTATCTCTTCTGGAAGTCTCAGGAATAGTTAGGTTAAGGTTGGGATGGTCTGAGTAAGTCTCTCAGGCCAGGAAGGGGGATGCGCAGGACTGAGCATGCAACTTCCCCTAGACTTAGCTCACACAAAACATGCGACCAAAGGAAGAGAGAAGAGGATGCTTACAGGAGTACAAAGGAAGGAACGGGAAAGCAAGGGAGGTTTTGAACTACTGATGGGACAGAAGGGGATTTCCTTACTCCACGAAGGGTACAGAAGGTTACCCAGGTTAGCCGAGGCATTATAGCTAATTATTACAGCTTTGGGGAGACAGCCAGAAAAGCTTGCCTAGAAGCAGCCAGGCTGGCTGGGTGCTGCTCCGAGGGCAGTTCAGGAAAGTGTCTCAGTAAGCTCCCTCAGCGAGCAGACTGTTGCTTGTGCCAGAAATTTTCTGGGGCTGAAGAGGTGGCTCAGTGGTTAAGAACACGTGCTGTTCGTGCAGAGGACCTGAGTTCTGTTGACAGCACCCACATCACGGTTGACAACCATGCTCAACCCTACTTCTGGGCATCTGGTATCTCTTCTGAGCTCTACAAACTCTAGACACTTTCCCGGACCACGTACACACATGTAGGCAGAGCATTCGTGCATATACGGTTTTAAAAATCAGTCTTAAAAAAAGAAGACATTTTATGTGCTTTTTGTCCCCTCTCAGAGAACTGACCACAGCAAACTTCTTGCTAACTCCATCTGCCATCCCGACTCAAACACAGTTGTAGTGTTTTTCAAAACATTCCACAGCCAGGGTTGGTTAACCCCAGTATTAGAAGGTGGAGGCGGGAGAATCAGGAATTCAAGATCATCTCAGGCTATATGGTAGCAAGTTCTGGATTAACCTGGGCTACATACATCCTGTCTCAGTCAACAACAAAAGAAACTGCTTGTGCTATATTTTATGAAGAAAAAGTAGTTTATGGAAGAGGAAATTGGATGGATGCATTAATTGGTTTATGGATTGCCAGACCGTCACTTTCTTCACTTACAACCCCCCTTGGACATCATGTACTGTGTCAGCTGTCTGAGAGAATAGATATTAGAGACTTACACTCCCAATCTGCTTGTTATGCTTATGGTCTCTTATTTACATCTTGACAGACTAAAGATAAAGAGACTAGGAAAACATAGGTTATTGTTGGCAAAATCCAACTCATCATTTGTATCCATCGAAAAAGTTTCACTGAAGCAGTGAACACAGACCACAAATGTGCTCCTGTTCACTATGCCTCCAATGGCAGCACTGAGTTGTTGCAAGGCAAAGCCTCTTTTTTTTTTTCTTCCCTAAGGCAAAGATAATTGCTATCTGGACCTTTCATGGAAAGCTTGCCGATTTCCCAGCACATATTCCAGAACACGTGGGTGGTGATGATAGACGGGAATGTATCCGAAAAGGAGGCAAATGAAGGCGGAGACACAGGGATCCATGGGCATTAGATAAGTAAGGCTGAGGAGTCAGGGAAGCCAAGTCAGGGACCTCCTTGTGCCCACGAAGGGAACGAAGAGAACGTGAAGAGCTGGTACTACTGCAGGCCATGCGGGGCCACTTAGTAATGAGGAAAGAGTCACTCGGCTTCCTAGGGAAAGCTCAGGATCCTCCCACAAGTCTGGAGGATCCCCCAACATTCCGCATGGGCAAGGATGTTCCAGTTTGCTTCTTTTCAAGTTCACTCTGCAGAGACGTGCTAGACAACTCTAACTAGAAGCACTTTCTTTTCCTTTAATTCTCCCCTCCTCCTCTTCTGAAAGTATTTAGTCTCTTGGAAGCAGGCCAGTATAAACATCCAGAATGATGGAGCATAGCCCTGGTGGCCTGGGGTTACCCATGTGACCTCATGGCTCCTCTGTGCTGCAGTGGCCAGGCAGTGAGAGAAGGAAGCCAC